AATCTCTTGGATAGTTTTTTTTTTTAAATTGTAAAGTTCCTGTTTCCAGGCAGAGAAAGAAACTTAAAGACATTAGAGGATCTGAATTCATGAGGTTGATAAAGCAAATATCACCCATTGAAAACACTCAGACCTTTTATAAATACAAGAATGGGGCTGGCCACCAATGGCCCCAGGCGGAGCAAGCAGCGCTGAAACCAGGTCATGTACCATGAGTGTTTAAAGCCCTTAAGTGTGTAAAAAAGTGAAAAGTAAATCACCCTGTTCATTACAAGCCAGAGTTTCCCACCTTTAGCTCTTCCTAAGGAAAAATGGACAAGTGTGTATGACTGCAGTGAAAACAATGACTAGATCACGAATTATTTTTTTAAACCCAGAAAGCAATATAGGAATAGAAGAGGAGGAAATCATGATAGTACCCACCTTTCACAAAGAGAGTAGAATTTCAAGCCATTAGACATTTCAAGAACAGTACCTTGAGTTATTGCCAGTCAGGCTTACAGAGCCATCTCTTGAGTTCATCAATGTACCTGCAGCATTGGTAATAAATACTTACTCTCAGTGATTTTCAATTTCTTTGAAGTGCACAGTAGGGAGCTTTTTCTGTATTAAAAATAGTGTTTTACAGTAGTAACAAACAGGATGTTTGAAATGTAACAGGCAAGCAGTAACTGTGCCACAATAACACTTTTAAAGCAAGATGGCAAGATTAGTAGTTTCCTGTACCTCGGTCATCACATTTCCCCCAACCACAGCCGTGACAGATACGTAATACATTCTATATATTACTACCACTAATAGAAAATAAAGGCCATGTGCTTTCAAATGATGCTTTGTAAAAAGCACCATCACCTTCAAAGGATTTCTTGACAAACTTCCCTGTCAGCATCCCTCCCTGCTCCTGATACCTCCTGCGTGCTCTGTGGCACCTGGTACACCAATTCATCCGGGCCACTCGGACCCGGCTTCCCACCTTTTGGGGTATCGTACTGGGCCTGGGCTGAGGAGCAGCTGTCAGTCCTGGAGAGAAGAGTGTTGTATGTTCCCACTAAAGGGGGAGGTTGACTTCCTGTAGCTTTGAAAGTGGACGTTGAGGGCAGACCAACTGAAGCTGTGGGGTGCCCCGATATATCCATGAAGATTGGGGTTGCATACTCAGGCCCAGTAATTGGGAGTGGTTCAGCATAGGCATGATATACTTCTTGCACTGGGGAGTTGTAAGGGTCTAGATCAGCATAGCCAGTTTCTTTTCCTTCTTCTGGTTTAAAGGTAGACCTCTGATGAAGTGTGCCAACAATTCCTCCCACTAGCGGCTGTGCGTACTCTGTGAATGTCACAAAACAAACAAACAGAAGAGTTACCTCGTTAACACAGGGATTGTACAATTTAGGGTGGCAGCTGCAGGCTTCCACCAAAAGCAAACACTTCTTTATGACACTTCTGTCGCGATCACCACAGACTTATGGATTTCCCTGTAAGAACCAACTTCAAAAATTAAAGATGTTAACTTGTATCTCACAGTAATAAATTAACATCCCAGAAAGCCTCATTCATGTAATTTTGCACAAAGTGTTTATGTCCTTCAGATTTATAGACAGTCTTTAATTGGAAAAGAAAATTTCCATCATTAGAATATTAATTTTAGAATATAATTTCAGAGATTGTTTTTTCTTTTCAAATATGAGGAAATGTTTAAAATAAATGCGACCTAGGTTAATAGAATAAATACTGTAAGGCTTGCTATGTCTTTCCTGCTCTTCTTTTAACACCCTCATACCCCCAATAAAACTAAACAAAACTCCAGGTAAATCAACAAAAACTGCCCAGAGTTTTTAGAAACGAATATCCCAATTTTATCGATAGAACATCTGAGGCAAGGAAATGGTTCTCAAGGTCATCTGTTTAAAAAGCGGTTCTACCTTTGGAAAAGAGCTCATCTCTCACATGAAAAAGATAGAAAAGATACTGTAAACCTCAAAGCACTTTACAGGAAACTGCAGTTTCTCCCTCTACCTTGTGGCTGATGGCTGCCATGGAGTTACCTGCAGAGTCAGTTTGCAGCATTGTGGTGACTTCTCTTGGACTCAAGTGATTAACTTCACTGCTGCTATAGCGAACTGGGCTTTCCTCGTGTTCCACTGATTTGGCAGGGAGAAACTGCTTCACTCCTTTCCACCAACCTTCATTGTGATTGTAAGCAAAAGAGACCAATTAAATAAAAACCTGTTTGAAACGGTAACAGAGATAACAGAGAGAAATCCGTTCCATGTAAGTCATTTCCATAACAAATGTCTATACAAACCAGCCTTTATGTTCAAGCTTTCCTAATGGTAAATACACATGTAATGTAAAATTTACCATCCTAACCACTTTTAAGTGTATAGTTCAGTGGTATTAAATACATTCACACTGTTGTGCAACCATCCCCACCATCCATCACTGTAACTCTTTTTATCTTGTACAACTGAAACTCTATACATATGACACAGTAGGTCCCTGGTCTCCCCTTCCATTCTACTTTCTGTCTTGATGATTTTGACTACTCTAAGAACCTCAGGAGTGGAATCATACAGTGTTTGTCTTTTTGGGACTGGTTTATTTCACTTAGCATAATGTCTTCAAGGTTCATCCATGTTGTAGCATATTGCAGAATTTCCTTTTCAAGGCTGAATAATATTTCAATGTATGTATATTATCACGTTACATATCCATTCATAGGTCGATGGACACATGGGCTGCTTCCACATTTTAACTGTTAGGAATAACACTGCCATGAATACGGGTACACAAATACCTCTTAAAGACCCCGCTTTTAATTATTTTGGGTTTATAACCAGAAGTGGAATTGCTGGATCATATGGTAATTCTATTTTTAATTTTTTGAAATTAAAAATTTTACAGCAGCTGTAACATGTTACATTCTCACGAATGGTGCACAAGGGTTCCAATTTCTCCACATCTTCACCAACACGTCTCGTTATTTTTGATAGGTGCCATCCTAATGGGTGTGAGGTGGTATCTCATTGTAGTTTTGATTTTCACGTCCCTAAAGATTAGTGATACTGAGCATCTTTTCATGTGCTTATTGGCCATTTGTATATATTCTTTGAAAAAATATCTATTCCTTTGCCCATTTTTTGAAATCGAGTTGTTTTTTGGCTTTGAGTTTTAAAAGTTCCTTACATATTCTGGATATTAATCCCTCATTAGATATGATTTGTGAATATTTTCTCCCATTCTGTCGGTTGTCTTTTTACTCTGTAGATAGTCTTTTGATATACAAAATTTAAAATTTTTCATGAAGTCCAATTTGTCTATTTTTTCTTTTGTTATCTGAGCATATGGTGTCATGTCAAAGAAATCGCTGTCAGGGCCAGCTGATTGGCGCGTTGGTTAAGAACTGGCTTGGGACGCCAGAGGGCCCCGGTTCGGATCCCACATATGAGGGCCAGTGACACTGCCCTCTACAGCTAAGATGCTGAACAACAGCTCAACCTGGAGCTGGGCTGCCGTGAGTCACCAGCAACGGCGTAGGCTGCAGCCCCTGCTGCAGTGGGTTGCCATGGGCTACCGTGTGTAACCAGCAGCCAGAGTGAGGGACCAGCAGCCGCCATGAGCAGCCATCCAGAAGCCGTCGACTGATCTGCCTCGCCTAGGAAGAGCGCAATGATGGTGCCAACTTGGACCAGTGAAGCGATGTCCTCCACAACTAGACTGAAGAACAAAACAACAGCAACTTGTCTGTTCCCCTTCCCCCAATTCCCCAGCACTGTTCCCATCCCCCAATTCCCCAATTAAAATCTTAAAAAAAAAAAAAAAGAAAAAAGAAATCGCTGCCAAATCCAATGTCGTGAAGCTTTTGTCCCATGTTTTTTGTAAGAGTTTTACTGTTTTAGGTCTTACATTTTGGTCTTAAATCCATTTTGAGTTAATTTTTGTATATGGTGTTAGGTTAAGTAAGGTCCAACTTCATTCTTTTGCATGTGAATATCCAGTTTTCCCATCACCATTTGTTGAAAAGACTGACTTTTCCTCAATAAATGTCTTGACACCCTCGTCAAAAAATCACGTATGAAGGCTTATTTCTGGGTTCTCTATTCTATTCCATTGGTCTATATGTCTGTCTTTATGCCAATACCACACTGTTTTGATTACTGTAGCTTTGTAGGAATTTTTGAAATTAGGAAGTGTGAGTCTTCCAGTTTTGGTTTTTTGACACTGTTTTGGCTCTTTGGTGTCCTTGAAATTCCATATGACTTTTAGGATGGATTTTTCCATTTCTGCAAAAAATTCACTGGGATTTTGATAGGGATTCCTATTAAATCTGTAGATTGCTTTGGGTATTATTGACATGTTAACAATATTAAGTCTTCCAATCCCTGAACAAAGGATGTAGTTCCATTTATGTCTTTTATAATTTCTTTTAGCAATGTTTTATGGTTTTCATTGTTTAAGTCTTTTAGTTTCTTGGTTAAGCTAATTCCTAAGCATTTTACTTTTTTTGATGCTATTGTAAATGGAATTATTTTTGTAATTTCCTTTTCAGTATTGATTGTTCGTGTATAGAAATGCAACAGATTTTTATGTGTTGGCTTTGTATTCTGCTACTTTGCTGAATTCATTTATTAGTTCTAACATTGTTTTTGCGAAATCTTTAAGGTTTAGTTCTTCTTCAAATGTTTGGTGCAATTTACCAGTGAGCCATCATGTCTAGGACTTTTCTCTGTTGGGAGATTTTTGATTATTGATTCAATCTCTTTACTAGTTATAGGTCTATTCAGTTTTTTTTCATTTATTCATGATTTAGTGTTGATAGGTTTTGTGTTTCTAAGAATTTGTACATTTCATCTAGATTATCCAATTTTTGAGTGTGTAATTGTTCATAGTATTGTAATTCGTTTTATTTCTGTAGAATTGGTAGTAATGTCCCCAATTTCATTTCTGATTTTAGTAATTTGAATCTTCTCTCCTCTTTTCTTGATTTATCTAGCTAAAGGTTTGTCCATTTTGTTGATCTTTCTGAAGAACTGACATTTGGTTTGCTTGATTTTCTTTATTGTTTTCCTATTCTCTGTTTTGTTTATCTCTGCTCTAATCTTTTTTATTTCCCTCCATGGTAGCTTTGGGTTTCTTTTGTTCTTCCTTTTCTAGTTCCTTAAGTTGTTCAAGATTATTTTTTGCTTCAATAGAATATCCAGTGCAAAGCAGAACATGGTAGAAATATGTATCAAAAGCATATAAAGAGGCAGATCGCTGCTATTCTGGTGCAACCAGATATAGTTTGTCTGTTGCAGGGGTGGTTTTTAATAAATTTTTCTGAAAATATACTTTCTAAGATACACCTTGGGGGGCTAGCAGCACCCTAGGTGATTAGCTCCCACCACTGCTCTTTTCTACCCTGGTCACAGGGGTGAGCTCTTTTGGCTCCTAACAGTTGTTCCAGGGAGACTGGGAAGTGAGGGAGCCACAGGGGCCTCTGGTGTCACTTGCAGCAATCTGCCACCTGCCACTGCCACACAGAGGAGGACTATTTAGAAGATGACAACTCATCATGGTAGGCCGCATGGACTCCTAAACTGCTGAGTCTACTTGGTAAATATGCCAAGCAGAGTGACAAACCACACTGTCACCAGCACCACAATCCTTTGCTTATTACACAGTATTCACACAGGCCTCAAAGCAAGCTGGCCTCCTCAAGAGAAACAGATACATGGGACAAACCAGACAAGTTTTCCAGAAAAAAAAAATTTGCTTTCTGTTCCATTACTTATTGACTAGAACAATTTTACAGAAGAGTAAAAATGATCAGAACAGGAGGAATGCCATTTTTCTAACAGTGCTGGGAGTTTAAGTGAGACTAAAAACAATTTTCCTCTTTCACTACTGCCACCTGGAGGGGAAGGACTTCACTGATGGAAAGAGATGCAAAGTCGTGAGTTACCTGCCCGGTCCCAGTAAGGTAAATCATAGGTGCCTTCAGTTTTTTTCTTTCTGGAAAAATACAGGAAGAAAAAGTTAGCAAATAAAGTGACTTCACTTGTAAGATAGCTCTGACATTGCAGTATAAACACTGAAGTTAATAATTAGTCAAGAGTACACATTTCCACTTGCTGATTTCATTTAACTTTGTCGGGACGCATAAATTCTGGACTCAATAAAAATTAAACTGTCTCCTGAGACAGTTATCTTGTTACCCAACTATTTCAAAAGAAACAAAGGAATAAAACAGGCTCAGTGTATAGATAAAAAGACTGATTCAAATTAAAGACCCAGCCCTGACATGTGGGTTTTATGGAGCAATCATGTTAGGTCTGATTTGGTTTTAAATACAAATTCTGCAAATCAACCAATTCACAAAGTTCATAGAACAACACCCAAAATCCCCATTTTCTTTGGCATTGTTATTTTTTCCAGCTTCCTGCTTCTCTTCTACAGCCCTTTAAAGTTTCGAGTGTCATATACCCTTAATTGCATAGACTGAGTTCCCCCAACCATGCCAGGATAAGTCAACTACATCACTAACATTGACAAACAGCAGACAGAAGAAAACGGGCTTCTCCAGGCCTGGGAGGTGAGAGCCATGTGCACAACCTAGAAGAGTCTCCCTAGTCTGTCCCCCGCAATTCTGACACGTCCTTCCAGGAGAAATCTCCCTTCCCTCCATTAAGAATTACTATCTACCAAGAGTTTTTTTACAAAGAAAAATTCAAGCAAATGAAAGGACCTTTTCTGATTCAAGCACATACATCTAATTAAACTGGATGCTTTGCAAGCTAAACAGAAAGCAGAAATTATTCTAGTGCCTAAACGAGGACAAGACGGTTATGTGATTTGCTCACGATCATAAATGTGGCTTTCTCAAAGAGCCCAAGCTCTGCGCTTTTCCTACTTGGATACACTCTTCTCCAGTATTAGACTGTTTTATTATTCATATTAAAAACTTTCTCATTTTAGAGTCTGGCTGTATTTAAAATGCAATTATTTTTCATTATTTTAAAGTAAAGTATAATGTAAAATTTGTGGAAGAGAGAGTAGGTACTGAAGCTGTTAAAAACTAGAATGTAAAAGAAATAATAAAATGCTGTTTTAACAATTAATTACTTTTCTCCTTGATAATCCTCTAATTACCATAAGACTTCAAAATAAAATTAATAATCTTTTCTAAACAGAAGTTAGATGCTCTATGAAAGATGTGTACTATGAAAGATTTTCTATAATCTTAAGTGACAGAGCTTCAGGTTATTTGTTACATGTACGGTGCGTGGAACGGTGCATGGCATGGGTTAAGGATTCACTAAGTTGCAGCTGCTTTTTTAATTATTTTCCTCACAATTTTCCACAGCCCTTTAATGGCATCTCCTCCTTTCCTCCTTGTCACGAAGTTCACTGTCAGCAATTTCAGCTGCCATGCTCAGAAGTAACCTCAATCCTGCAGCTCAGGCCTTTTGTCCTGAACATACATGTATTCCATCTGCCTCCTGGGAGTCTGCATGTCTGAGGGTTCCTTAAACACCACCCCAAACTGAGGTCCAAGCTGGCTTCCTGCCTCCCTCTCAACAACTGTACTCCCCAGTCCTCAGCCCACACCCCTGTGCTTTAACCGCAGTGGATGAGGCTATACTGGCTGACCGGATGTTCAGAGGCAGCCATGGTGAACAGCACAGGCCCTGCAGCCAGGTTGCAAGCTCCGCCCTATGGGCACTGGCCCGGTGACCTCGGGCAAGTTATGTAAGCTATCTCACTTTCTCCTTCTGTAAAAGGGGATTTATAACAGTACATTTTTCACAGGTTGTTTTCAGGATTAAGTTAGTTAAAGCAGGTAAGGCATGTAGAGTAACACCTACAATCAGCATTTAGCGTTTTTGTAAAAATTGGCTGTGGCTGCTGTTCTCATCGTTATATTGTTGCCGTCCAGTTCTCTGGAAGCGCTGTGAACTTTCTTTCCTGGACTTCCCTAAGCCTTTCTTCCTCCTCTTTTCCCTACTGCCCTCATATAACTTGTCAGGTCTCGGCTCAGACAGCCTCCCCAACACCATGAGTCTGGAATGCACTGGGATCCAGGTTGGTAGCATGGCCGACAGTTTTCTGTGCTGTACTTCCTTCTGTTGTGTGAGCTCTGAGGTTCATCCCTGGACTCCCAGCCAGCACGCGGCTCAACACTTGGCACAGGGAGGAGCTCAGAGATTTGGTGAATGGCTGAACAAAAGAAGCCATTCTCTCGCTCCACCTAACCTCTCCCTCCTGCTCTGTTACCTCAGCTCATGACATCTGTACTGGTCCAACTGCACCGGCCGGAACTTCAGATCATCCTAGATCCCTCCTGCTTCTTCCGGTGACAGCTAGTCATGCACCCCATTGACGCCTCTGGGACACCTCTCCCCCGCCATCTCTCTCCCCTTCCTAGACTCGCTGTGCTACATTCCTGCACGGCCTTGGTAGTTTCCTAATTCATCTCGCTGCCTCCTCTACTCTCTCTCCTCTTCAGTCCACCCTTTAAAACTCCTGCCACTGTCTTTCTATACACATCTGACTAGTACTACTCATGTGCCTAACACTCTTCAATGGTTTCCCCGTCTGTAGGATGAAATCCAAATTTCTCTCTCCCAGAAAGCCCTCCTTGATCCTGGCCCAGGCGCTTTTCTACGATGAATTCTCAGTGCTCTCCCATGCCAAGCCCACACGAGGTGACTCACTATTTTGCGCACAGCCCACATCTCTGTGCCTTCGCTCAAGCAATTCCCTCAGTCTAGGCCGTTCCCTACCTTCCACTATCTAGCCAAATCCAACTTTTTTGGTAAAACATGCTAACCATGAAACATGCATTACTCTTTCTTGAAGAAAAGTTTTCAGGTAATGCTCATGGTTCTTGCATATGTGTTCCCTAATATTTCATAAATAACTTATCAGACTATATTATAGTTTCTTATTTTGTGAGAGTCAACCCTGCTAAACACCTTGGAGATAGGAATTGTGTTTCATTCTTTCAGTATTCATTACTAAGCACCTCTTATGTGTCAGACACTGTTCTTATTAATGTGTATAGTCCAGTGTACACTGCAGAATTGGATACAATCAAGGTGCTCAGTAGCTGACTGTATAACTGAACATATTTATTTATTATGGGAATAAAGGAGAAGCATATGTATTTTTATTTTAATGACTATCTTCCCTCTCCCTCTCAAAAAGATGACTTGTAGTTCATTTTCTATATTTAGTTTCTATTTCACATTTGGAAACATCCCCTCTAGGACCAATTAAGCAAACTCGTTATGTACTAACCTGTTTCTCCAATGCCAAGCGCATACTAAGACGAGGATGAGAGTGGTGAGGACCATGACTAGCACAGGGACAAGGACTGCGGCCAAGGCTATATCTGAAATAAACCAAAGGCAGAAATTAGGAAGGGAAAGAGTCAAGATTAACCACATCAGCATTCAAAGGTTTCTATGTCAAAAAATACCATAAACAGTATTTATGAAATGAGACTGGACATGAGTTGAGAACTGTAGAAGCTTTCATGGATACATGGAAGTTTGTCTCACTATTTGCTCTACCTTTGTATTATGTTTAAAATTTTTCATAGTAACTTTTTAAATCACCAAGACAATGACCGAAAGATAAATGGTAAGTTGAGAAAACATATTTTCTGCATATGTGATAAAGGGTTACTAAAATACAGGATACAGAAGTAAAAAACAAATAATAGAAAAATTGGCAAGATGAATACATAAAAAAACAACAAGTGACCATGCAACATGTTAGCTAGTAATCCGAAAAACAGAAGTTAAAACAAGAATAAAATGCTATTTCTGCTTATCAAGTTGGACAGTATTTAAAAAACCTAATTCTTGAAGAGGATACTAGGAAATAGGTATTTTTATGGGACTATAAATTGATCCTTTCTGTATCATTTCGGGCCAACAAATATAAAATCCGATACTTGGTGATTCCATATCTAGAGTTTATTATTAGGAAAAATTAACATGACATTCAAAGATGTATCTTTAAAGAGGCCTGCTTCTATATCTGCAGAAGAGTGAAAATCTAGAAATCATCCAAGTGCCCAACAATGAAAGGGAATAAGTACATCACAGTATCTTCCTTATAGTAAAATATTACCCAGCAAATGGAAATGATGTTGCAACATGATGGCACAATGTTTATAGATACAGGAAGGTAACAATGGAGTATTAAGTGTAGACAGCCACTGTGTATCAACAGGGCAGAAACCTGCACAATGCAGGAGCCTGCAGGAAGTAGGTCATTCAATCCCCTTATCTCACTTCAGAGATAAAGAATCCTGGACCGAGGTAATAGTCTGCCAAGGGACTCTCGGTTCTTCCTTCATCTGTCAATGCCCTCCTGGCCATAATGATGATAGATAATAGTAGCAACTGCTGATATGTACTGGGGGCAAAGGGCCGGACACTGTGCCAGGCCTGACCAGGAACAGCTTATTTACTCCTTATAACTGAACAGAGAGAAAGAGGCTGACAATACAGGAGAGGGAGAGAATGAGCAATAACTTGAGGCCTCTGAGGAGCTAGTGCTAGATGGATGGGAACTAGGGCACTGGTGAGGTGATCAGCCTGGGCAGTACAAGGAACCCCCCTTTTTTACTGCAGTGGACAGAGGGTACAGATGAGTTTGTAGTTTCCACAAAAAGGAGTTTCCTTCTCATAGTTTCTATTTTCTTTGTAAAGTTGAAGGGGTAGCTGAGAGTGAGTGACGATCTCGGGGTCAAGGGTTTAACATGGAGAAATGACTATTGAGAACAGACAGGACAGCCAAGCAGGGAAGCAGAGATGATGCTGAGGGCCCCACTGAGGGGCGAGCTGGAAGTTACAGCTGCACAAATCTGACCATAACATGCTTTTCTCCAGCATCACTCGCAGCCTGGAGGTAAAAATGGAGAAAGGAGAAGTGCATAAAACAGAAATCATGACTCAGGCTAGAAAGCACTAAGAATTCAGAGAAGTAAATGTGCTTTTTAATCCCTAAAATTTGTGAAACTGGAGAGAGAACAGTCAAGTTCAGAAGGACACGGTTTGATTTAATCAGAGGCTTTAAAACATCTGCTTAGGTTTGAAAAATAATAAAAAGTCTATCTATCACTGTCCCAGAGAAAGGGAGACAAGTTCTTCAATTAAAAAGACTTGGTCATTCTTTGTTATTCTTTTTGAGTTTACCGGGATCCTAGTTCTGGGAGAAAAATGCTTTAAGGACACTTTTAGTTTTGAGATTTTTAAGATTCTATAACCAGATTTTAAGATAAGCAATGCTTTCAAATGACTGGTCTTCCATCCAGGCATGTGGTCTGGGATTCTGCCTAAACACATGCCTTCTGCAAATGGGTAAGAGGCTCTCTCTGTGAATGCTGAGATCTCTTGGCCCTGAGAACTCTTGCTTCTTTCTAGGTTTTCCTGCAGCCTGAGAAATAAATTGGTCTGTTTGGAAATACTTTAGAAAATAGGAAAGAAACTGACACGTGGAAAGCTGGAGCAAGTTATCTGAATCCAGGCAAATTTTCAGAAAATGAGAATGATTCCAGTTCTATGTGGCACAAGTCACTCTAAATGAATTGCTTTCTCTTCTTCTCGCTCTTGAAAATGAGTATGCTTTATTTACCTGCCAACACTGAGACTAATTCCTCTAGGATGCTGACACTTTTTTGCCTGTATCCCACTGAAATTGTTTTTCAACAACTAATGAATCAAAGAAATATTATGTTTTATATATGTTAATACCTTATTTATCACTAATAACAAAATTTGAAAGTAAATTCTATGAATATATTATACTTACAATCTGAAAAATTATAATCATAAACATTTTTAAAGAGACCAAAGTTTTTTTATGAATATGTTAACGCAGAGTATTTTTTTTCTAAGTATTAATTTTCACCAAAGCTTCTGTCTTTTTTTTTCCCCTCTTCTCTTTTTGTCGCCAAGTTCCCTATCCAGCAAATTAATATATAATCAGGAAAAAAAGACTTGTTTCCTGCTATGGTTTTAGTTATTTCTAGAAATTTTTCTAGGTATGACATTCCATGTGTTTAGCTGTAGAGACAAAAACCGTAAGAGGGGGCCTAGTATACAGCAGCCATCTCTAAATATTTAAAGAACAATTCTACATGACACCAGAGAATAGAACTTAGAGCAATGCTTTTTTTTCCTAAGGAAGGGAATTAATTTTTTTGCTATACTTAAAACAATACAACATACAGGAAAAGAAACTGAGTGTTTAAAAGCTACAAATGTTACTGAAAACTTAAGTTGAAAACAAAATAAAACACTACTACATAACAGGTGTGAATGTTTGGGTTTGCCTACCTTTGGTTACATTTGGAGTTACAGTAGTGTTTTTGATATCAGGAGTGGCAGTTGTTTGTTCTGTCTGTGCAGGAAATTCATTGCTACTGCGAGGTTGTAGTGGTTGAATAAATTTTGGGGCACGACCTTGAAAAAAGTTTTAAAAACTCTTTATTCTTTTATGTACATCAACTTGATTAAAATAAAGTTAATTCAGAATGCTTTCAATATATTTATGGAAAGTTATACCATAAATCCAGGGAATATCAAATTCTCACATTTAAAGGAGGCATACCTTTGGCTATTTTTGGAGGGGCTGTAGTGTTTTTGAGGTCATTGCTGTTCCGAGGGGGTGGGGGTTGAGTAAATTTTGGAGGACGACCTTGAAAAATCGTTTAGAAAAATTTACACATTTCGTTTATAAAAACCATTGTTAAAAATAGTAATTTTAAACGCTTTAACATTTCCTAAAATACTTAATTCTGCACTGTAATTTTAAATCTCAGAAAGAAATATGTCAGAAGGCTAAATATACTCTGCATTTAATGCACAAATATATTAAGATGTCTCAGTTTTTAAATAATTACATTGTCTGAGAGTCATCTTCTCAGGAAGGAGAAAAATGGGGAGGCAGATGATGCTGAACTCTAAAGCTATAAAGTGTTATCACAATTTGATATACCACTCAATTCATTTAATAAATATTTATGAGGGCCCACTATGTGCCAGGCACTGAGGTAGTTCTTAAGGATACAACAAAAACCAAAATATTAAAATATTATATAATATTGGAGGAAGTTATTTCCACTTCTAATTTATTCAAAGTAAAAGTCACTTAGACCAAGGTTACTATTATAATAATCAGTGCTTATATGATACAAATATTATATTACATGAGACCTGACTACAAATTATAAGATTGAGACTAGATTTGAAAAGCAGTCTCATTACATCATCTCATCAACAATGTTCTCTCTCCTACTTATAGTTTTGGAAACTATTTTGATAGCTAACTTTTTAATAAGATAACTATTTCTTTTTAAAAATCCCTTTAAGAAGGTATTATAATTAGAGATTAAACACTCACACTATTATTAATTACAGTCTCTGAAAACAGCGCTTTGGATTTTTAATTAATCCAGAAAAATAATATGTCTTAAACATACTGTTGCTTTACCTTTAGAAACAGACTGACATCCAAGCAGTTCCACTTTCATGGCAATTTTGTGCTGCCATTCGGTAGGATTCACTCTAATAAAACGTGCAACAATTGGTGGCAAAAAGTTATTACGCACATCCTGGTGATAATCTTTGTTTCCTTGAAATATCTTTAAAAAACAACAAAAAAATTGGTACTTTACATCAACAGAGGCCAGGGCTAAATTGCTCCACTGAAACATGTTTTTGGTTTTTTTTTGCTCTGGGCCTTAAAATGAGATCTGCAAAGTATGACAATAAGAATTAATGTTTAAGAAAATAAACTCGTCACAATTAGGAAAACTACTGACATACCACACATTCTTCATTAAAAATTTATAAAAGGAAAATATGGAATATAAAAATTATTTTAAGATGATATAAACACAGCAAGAATTCCAACTTGGGAATCTGGGAAGATTTGTCTCAATTGCAATCAGACAGTATATTGTATTAATAAATTAGTAACTAGTCCTGTGGATGTACCAACTATTTAAATATGCTAATTTTACTTTCAAAGTAAAACATAATTGAACATAGGAGGTCTTAGAGGAAATGCTTTACAGTGTGGGTTTCATAATTTTTCTCCCGATAAGCAGACTGAAAGTGAACATACACTAACAAACACATAACAGATATATACCTCCACCTACTGGATAAACTGCATAAACCCAGTTCCCGTATTCTGTTTTCTTGCTCTTCGAGCCAGAAAAGTGACACTGTTCTCTAATTTAATGATCACAACTAAACAGCAACAAATTCATTATATGAATAATTACTAGGTAAAAATATGATTTCGAGTGACTATGTCATTCCTTAGACTGTTTCAAGCAAATAATGATAGTACCTTACACTGGAACAGCTCTTAAATCTTTACAAAGCATTTTCATATAATTAACTTGGATGCTTTTCATGACACCCCTATGAAATAGGCAGAACCCAGAAAACTGCAGCTTATCGAGTGTAAGTGGACTGCACGGCCAGTCATTGGTAGAGCAGTGATTGGAATCTGTGTCTTCTGACTTATGTATAGGGCTCTACTGAGCAAAAATGAGCCCTCCCTCCCGTTCCTGCAGACCACATCACCTCGGTAGGTTCTAAAGACCATTAATAAATGAACACCTGCCAACAATCAAAGTGGTTTGTTTTTTATCAGTTAAGGTAAGAGCAAGTAAATGTTTAATTCTTTAATCAATTTCCAAATATTACAGTTACTTTCTTCCTAGCTGATTCACATGGCATTAGATTATAAACTTTTAAGACGTGTTAGTATCCTTCATTTTCTAAGAGGTTTACTTGAAGTTACAATAATCTCCACACTAATATGCTTTCATTATTTCCTCAGATATTACTCTGAAATAAAATAAAAGCAATTATCTACAGTCTATTATATTAGTGGAACAGGAATAATAAATAAACATCATTTTAGGACATGAAAACTATCCCTGAGATCTTATTCCATACTGCTTTCTCATTTTTATAAAAAGCTCAAAGGAGTTAAGATTTTTATAAAAACTAAGTAAAAAGATTTGCTATATTTAACCTATAAACATTTATTGTGAACCCCTATGCATAGGGAGGTTGGCAAGGTGTCATGAGAGTAAAATGGAAGCCAAGGTTCCCACTTCTCGAGGAACTTAAATTTTACTGAACGTCACCACACACAAATATGACATACTATAAAAGCAATATATTATGAAAACAAGTTGTATATACATTCCCATTTTCTGAAAACAAAACCAAAAGCTGTCTTAATCTGTATGTGCGTGCTTACACGTGTGCATGCTTAGAAAGGGTGTGAAAATGAATATGTCAATTATCCTTGAGTTGGAGGTAGAGAAGGGAGCAGATGGACTAATGCAAGTGAGGCAAAAGATTGTTATTTCATATAATTCCATGCAAGGACTTCCACTTCTATCCGTGATAGACTAACAGGAACTGGATTTACCCTTTTGCCATAAACCTTTGAAAAACAGGATAAAATACATGAAACAATGGTTTTTCAAACACTGGGTAACAGGCAACATAAGATAATAGTCCCTGAGAAAAGGGAAACAGATGAGATGAGTCTTTCTATTGCCCCAATATTGCCTGGAGAGAGTCTGGTGGTCGCATTGAATTGAAGAGCTACAGCTCAGAGCTGGAGAGGCCAAGGTAGCTAGAATACAGTACAGGAGAGAAGAGAACTGCAGAAAGACTTCTAGGATCTGCAGGGAGTTTCCCCCTAAATCTTCACCTGCATGTAAAGAAACTATATATGGATGGGAAAAGAACCACCAGAAAGGAGCCAGTAGAACAATTCTTAGAGCTAGCCAGGGCTGGAAACAGCTCACCCTGCCAACAGCTAGAGTGGAAAAACCTCACAATACATAAGATGTTGGGTTGAGTACTTAGAACAATATTGTCTCAGGAGCAGAGAAAAATTAGAACAAAAGGCTGCTCAAGTCCTGCCTAAGAAAGCTAAAATGTAAGCCTTGAAAAGACAATGATTTTCAAGTAAACTGTGTCCCAGAATGAAGCTCAAAAATATTTAAAGGAATAATAATAAAAAATGAAATCCAGCACCAAACAAGTAAAGTTTACAATGTCTGACAACCAATTAAAAAATTACCAGGCATGTAATATGACACATAATGTATCAATCAATATAAAAAGATCCAGATATGACACATCGATAAAGGCATTAGACGAGTTATTATACACTCCATCTGATTCACAGGTAAAGAAAAGCATGAGCATGTTAAGAAGAGACATAAAAGAAATTTTAAAAGCCCCAAACTGAAAAATCTAGAGGTAAAGAAAATACAATATTGGAGATAAAAATATACAATATAGGATTAATAGAAGATTAGACATTTTAGAAGAATAGATTAGTGAACTTGAAGACAAACAACAGAAATTTCCCAAACAAGAACACATGGAAAAATAAAAATAAAACAGAGCATCAATGAACTGTTAGACATACCAAGAGTCATAATATTAACGTAATTAGAACTGAAGAGACGACATATTTGAAGAAAAAAAAAAGGCCTACAATTTTCTAAATTCGATACACATTATAACCCACAGATCCAAGAAGCTCAAAGAAGTCTGAGCAAAAGAAACATAAAGACAACTACACAAAGCTACACAAAGCACATCATAATCAAATTGCTTAAGAAAAATGAGATAAAGAAAATCTTAAAAGTAGCCAAGGGAAAAAATATTACATATTAAGGAATAACAAGAACGACAGCAGAATTCTCGCTGAAAACAATGCAAACCAGAAACAATGTACCAGCATATTTAAAGTACTGAAACAAAGAGCTGTCAACCTAGAATTCTAAACCCAGTGAATTTATCTTTCAAATAAAACAACGAAGTTTTTTTCAGAAATATAATTCAATGTTGTGAGATGTTTTTATAATATAAGCATGGATAATCTTATAATTTCAAAAAATTAGCAATATTCCATAAATATAATTTATACAAATACATGTGGATGTGCTAAATGTAAAAAGTAGTCAAGTTTGGGGGCATTAAACAGAAGTAAGATAGATATGGAGGCAACATGGTTATTTGCTTCAATGGGTGGGTAGAGGCTCACCAAAGATGAAGTTCATGTGAAACCAAGTAGAAGAGAGGAAAGAAGGCTTTGAATAACACCAGAGGAGTTTAGATCCACATGAAAGATTATAGGGAGCCCCTGCAGTTTTTTGAACAGAGAGATAAGTGGTAATTGAAGATATATTAGCAAATCTTATATATGATAGAGAACTGATAGTATCCCATAATTGAAACAAAACTCATAGGGAAGTTTCATTGAAAATATGTGCTCATAATTTCAACTCTATTGTAGATGACAGGAATCTACTTTCCTTGGGGACAGGGACTCTTCCAGTTACACGATCCTTCTGGTGGATCAAGAGCCAGGAGCCCAGGCGAAAGCGATAAACATCTAGATGAGAGTCACCTTTGCCTACTCTGAACCCCTTATCATCTGATCTGGTAAATTTCAGCACTGTCATGCTTTGCTAACTAAAACAACAATTTCGTAAGGACCACAGAAGTTAAGGAAATTCTTCAGGTATGGAAATGCAGATGTTTTCAAAGAAAGTTGGTGAGGTCATGTGGAAATGACCTTTCAAGTCTATAACATCCTATAGCTTGATACACTTTTGCCTTTAGCTCTTCTGTCCCCCTTGCCTACAGTATACACATCAGGGAACAAATTAGGCTCTCCATTCTGTGGATTGATAAGATTTTTAAAGGTAAAAAATTACAAGTTCCTTTTTATAATTTCTTAATCAAGTATCTGAAAATTGAGTTAAAAATGTAGTGGTGGGGGGGAGAAGTTAAAAATGTAATGGAAAAAAAAAATCATCAAAAGGGGACCTAGAACCACTGAGAATTTCCTAACCATGATTAGAAGGGTAAGGGCAATAGCTAACACTATCTACAATAACCAGAAGAGGGCAGAGTAAGACCAAAGGCTATCTAACTTTTTGTATAGCACACACGAGAGCTTCTGTGACTTTTGGCAAAGGCTCATTTTAAAAACTGCTTTTAAAAATACCTTGTTAATCATTTTACCTTATCCTGCTCCACACCAGGCTCTCTGTACACAGTCCATCTCCGTCCATCATCACTGTATAGAATTCTGTAGGCCGACACATAGTAATTATGTTCCACCATGGTGGAGCCAGTAGTTACGATGCCTGGGGGATGGAGAGTTGCTTTCATTAGCGCACATGGTCTGATACTTGAAGTCTATTCACCGTTGAAACATAAACATCTAACATGCACTGCTCAAACCTTTGAGCATGACACATTACCCATGACACATTACCATATCTAAGTGCAAGGTTTCATTATAATAGAAACTAAATCCTTGGCTTTGTTCCCTTGTAGAGATAGGAAGAATTATGTGCAGGCATAAGGAAAAGACCATTTTGTTTTAGCAGGTTGTGTTCATATCATCGTAAAATATATTTCACTTAGCAAGTAAGTAAGAATGATTTCCTGGGAACAGACAGGTTAAAGATGGTTATGGGTATTATTTTCAATACCAAAGCAAAATAAATCTTTAACAAAACCAATCCCAAACAATTATTCTGACCATTTGCTAAGTTGCTCTAAATAATTAAATTGATACTCAGCACATGTGGAATATTATTTATAACACTTAAAGCTGACTCCTTGAACATAAATTTCTCTTAATAACTATAAGAGATGGTTGTTTCAGACGTCTCAAGATCACTTTACTAAAACATTAAAAGAATTTATTGCAATGAAAAAGAAAAGCTAATAAGAATCAAAAACCAACTCCTCTCCTCTATCATGTTTTTTCATAAAACCATCTTCAGTAATATTAACACCAGTAAAGAAAACTTAAAAACACATAATTAAATTTGCAGTGACTTAATTTTCTATAAAAATCTTAGATGTCACTAGGTTTCCAAATAAAATCAGTATTATAAATTGCTTTAGAAAATTGTGTCTCTGGACCTGTTATCTTCTTTTCCTTATTCAGATCTATTTGTAACCACTGATATTCATCGGTGGCAAAAGCAGCCCAAGGAGGTCCCAGTTTCTTCAGCCTGGCCTTTTCGGGTTTCCAACTGTTCTCTTGCCCTGTGTGGTCAGTCCACTCCAGCACAGATGATGCTGTTATCTGAGGATCAGCAATCACACCGGATTCCATCCCCAGTGTTCCATAACAACCTGACACAAAAAAGAAAAAAAAAACTTTTGTTTCCAGATATAAATTCAAAATCTACAGAAACTTGAAAAACGCAAACTTTCTATTGTACCTTTAATTTCAATGCACTATGCTAATACACTAATAAATTTCAGAACTAGGCAAGAGTTTCTTGGGTCTATGTCTTCATGTCTTGTCAGAAAATGTACATATTTATTCACAAGCCGTAACTACTAGTTTAATGGAGATACATGAGCCTCTCCCTGGACACACCCCCAGGTCAGCGGGTAACTTCCCATCCCCCTCACCTCCTTCAGGTGTTTGCAGAGATGTCACGTCTGCCCTACCCCACTCCTCCACTGCCTATTCTTCCTTGCTTTATTATTCTACGTCTTTTATGATAAACACTACATTACAAACAATAATTGACTTATTCACTGTTTACTGTCAATCTCTCACTACCAGGATGTAAGCTACAGGAAAGCAGAATTTTGTTTATTCTGCCCACTATTTTTTTCTGAGCACCAGAACAGTAGTACCTGACAAACAAAAGAAGGCGCTCAATAAATATTTTCAGTCGAATTAATTACTTCTTCAGACAAGTTCCCAAATCACCTTTTCTAAGAAACTTTTCTTGCTTACATTACACGTTTCCCCACTAATTATAAACCTTCAATTTATTTCATTCATTATATTAAATACTCATCTTATTTTAGCAAATGAGAAAGTGCAAAAAACAGCAATTAGCACAATGCCTGACATATAGTGTTCAAAATATTTTAGCTACTATACAAATTATAATGTTATGAAATCCACAAAAGGCTTACCACTTGTCTTAAATGTAAAAAGGCTTGTAGACAAGTGTCCCCTGAAAGAGAGAAAGGTGTTTTTGGTGACACTCACATAACACATGACTTCTCCCTATGTCTTGGTAAAACAATTTCTTTTGTTTTTATTTTACTATATAAAGAACTAAGACTATTCTCTGGCTATGTATTAGACAACTGATATTGTTCATAGCAAAAAATGTCTCATTTTTAAGCAGAACTTCTGAAACAGCATAAACAACTTCCTCTACAAGTATCTAGCTCCAACTTTCACATATGATTATGCAAATGTGTCCACATAACCTTTAATATATATTTATGCTCTTTCTTTTTCATGAAGTAAATTGACTCCTAAGACTTTTCTGTGACTTTGACTTCTGGTGAGGGCACACGGAAAAGTGTTTAATTCTCAGACACGGAGGCTCCAGTTCCCTGGGTAAACAGAAGGAAAGCTGGCTCCTCCTAAGAGAGGTAGCCGTTTGTTACAGGAAATCAACATGCCTAAGAACAAGTTTCAGTGAGGCAGCCCTGCATTTGGATTTCAAAGTAACAAACAGGATAGGTGCACTGGGGAGAATGGAGGGGTGGGACAAGTGACTAGGTCACCACACCGCAAGTCAGAAGACTTGAAGGAACTCGGAGGGATAAAATCATCAGTGTATCTCCTGCCTTTAACACAACACTCAAACCACTGTCAGGGGATGCAACCTCTCCTTTTTTTTTTTTTTTATATGAAAAATAACTCATGAAAAAATGTCTTTCTAAAGGCAGAACAGGGGAAAAGAATGAAAGGGCCTGCATAAAAGCATCTAGAAGAAACCAAAAGAAGGAAAGGTAGCTGACTCTGTACGTAGGTGGGCAAATGACAGCTCATGAATGGCCGGTTTTGCATGGCCAGTGAGCCAAGAATGGTTTTTAAATGGTTAAGGAGTTGTAAATAAAACAAAAAAGAGTAAGTGACAGAGACACGTAGCCCCTAACAGCCTAAAATACTTGCTAGTTGGTCCTTTCCTGGGAACGTTCGCCGACTCCTGCTTCCTGTTGCCCTGGGTGTGAATCATGCTACCATGTTCTGAATGAAAGCTGGCCTAGAACCTCTGAAGAAAAGCTGGTTTCAATTAGGCTTAGTACTGTAGTCTGTAGGACTGAGCATCTCTAAGAGGCAAGATTTACAAAAATAGACTGGGAGTATTGCATTTGTACTGATAGTATTTGCAGAATGTATTTTCATGGTATCTACGACATTGTATTCAATTTTGTAAGATAATAGAATGTTGTAGATACCATGAAAATACATTCTGCAAATACTTTCTTGGGATGAGAAAGGGATTCATAACAATACTACCTTTGATTTATGTCAAAATCTAATTTACATTCAAAGTATTTCAATTATCCTCAGTTCATCCTGGTCACATGGGCTGTAAGGGACACAATAGTTATGCCTTCAGAACTTAAAAATGAAGGATTTGGCTTCTAGACTCTTATGCCAGGCTTTTTCTACACTTAGAAAAGAAGAAACAAACAATTCACGCTTTCAAATGACTACCTTTTTGATGAAAAACAAGCCAAGGGAGTACAACCTTGCCTGTCCTCTTCAATGCTCTCAGGCACTGAGCACACACAAGTGTGAGGGCTTCCTGCCTGAAGGGCATTTCATGAACACCACTGCCTGTGATATTACTGAGGCCTTATGAGTCCCTATTCTGCCCTGCCCGGCACGCTTATTATAAACTACATATATACTTACACTACAGATGTGACGTTGTTAGCCAAAGAACTTTCATAGTACGGAATACCTTTACTAATCACAACGCTGATTTGGCCGCCCAAAATGTTTGACACCACTCCTGCATGCACTCCAGCCATGCACAGTGGCGAAGACTTGAGGAAGGGAAAAAGAGAAGATTTGTTTTTTATTTTCTTTCAATAATTCATAAATAAGACACACTTCTTCAAGAAATTAGTTGATCTGGGCAGTTTTCCCAAAAAACATGGGTGGGACAGAGTACTGATGCCATAAACACAGAACAAATTTTTATAAGAAACAGAATAAAACATTACATATTACTGAAAATAAGTAATTCCCAGAAAAAAAAATCAAAACAAAGACATACAACAGGTACACATCTACCTCTTCTGCTGCAAGTTTCAAAAAATGCAGTGCCACAACTTTAACGTAAGTCTGCATCCAACTTACATCTCTATATCCATGAGGGATTGTTCCAGATATCTCAGCAAAAGGAAGCAGACAACCAGCTGGGCAGTACTTACTGTGAAATAAAAGCAAGTTAAAGGATATAGAGTGCTGTACTTTTGGGGGGAAAAGACCAAAAACCCATCACATACCCGTTTTTCAGTTCAGTGTAAATACCATAACCTCACCCTCCTGAGAGAACCAGCATTTCTAAAAAGCCCTTTCAGACTTTCTTCTGTCCATCCGTACACATCTTTACCTACATATTTACAAAAATCACCTCGTATTCTACATACTGCTTTGATTATTTGACTTCATAATGAATACAGGCATATTTCTACTGTAAGATATAATCATATTTAATAGCTACGTGATATTCTATTTTGTGGATAAACCATAACTTACTTTACCAACTCTATATTGATGAAATTTAAGTTGATCTAAAAAACGTTTTTGGCATTCATTCTTCTATTCACTCACTCACTCACTCAATCATCCACCCACTCAACACACTTACTTGAATGTCTATTATGCTGGGCTGTGCTAGGCACAGGGTTCACAAAGGGCAACCAAAGAAATATGGCCCCTGCCCTCACTAAGTTACATTCCAGTGTTGGGGGAAGACACTAAACTGATACTTACACAAATAATCAGACTATGATTCTGCTATGAAGAAAAGGGATTCTATGACATGACTGGGAGGAATCTAGCTTAATAAAACGAATGCAAACATTCTGTAAACCTACTATGTGCCAGGCAGCATTCTAGTGCTTTAGGTAATCCACAAAAGAACCCTATGTGGTAGGTGCTATCATTGTCCTCATTGTACAGATGAGAAAATCAAGGAATTGTGTGCCTGGGTCACATGACTGGTTAAGTGTCAGTTGCGCTCCAGAGTCTGTGCTCATAGGCAGGGCTCTGCACTGCCTCGGTCAGGGGATGGGGCTCTGAGGAAGCAAAGCTTCTGTAGAGAGCTAAGGGCTGTCACTGCAGCAAGTGGAGGGACGTGCACCCCAGCTGGAAGGAACAGCATGCCCATGAGGCGGGATGACCTGTGTGTGTGTAACTGAGGATGTCCAGTGCAGGTAGGGTGCAGTGAACAAAGCTAAGGTTAGATTGAGAGAAGGCTGAAGAAGTGGGCGGGGCCAGATCATGCAGAGGCCTTGTGGGCGAGGGTGAGGGATCTGGAATCGGTTCCCAAATAAAAACAGAAAGTCAGTAAAGGATTTTGACAGTGTACATACATAATCCAGTTCATAGTTTTAAAAAAGAGTACTGTGGGGGGCCGGCCGAGTGGCGCGATGGTTAAGAACTCGCTTGGGATGCCAGAGGGCCCCGGTTCGGATCCCACATATGAGGGCCAGCTCAACCTGGAGAACAAAACGACAGCAACTTGTCTGTTCCCCTTCCCCTAATTCCCCAGTACTGTTCCCATCCCCCCAATTACCCAATTAAAAAAAAA